AGTCCAGTGGTCGACGCCATCTCCAGTCCAGTGGTCGACGCCGTCTCCAGTCCATTGGTCGACGCCGTCTCCAGTACATTGGTCGATGCCGTCTGCAGTCCTGTGGTCGACGCCGTCTCCAGTCCCGTGGTCGACGCCGTCTCCAGTCCCGTGGTCGACGCCATCTCCAGTCCCGTGGTCGACGCCGTCTCCAGTCCATTGGTCGACGCCGTCTCCTCCAGTCCATTGGTCGACGCCGTCTCCTGTCTCAAGTCTCTCCACAAGTGTTCCAGTCTCCCAAGTCTCAAGTGTTCCAGTCTCCCAAGTCTCAAGTGTTCTCACAAGTGTTCCAGTCTCCCAGGTCTCAAGTGTTCCACTCTCCCAAGTTGCAAGTGTTCCAGTCTACCAAATCTCAAGTGTTCTCACAAGTGTTCCAGTATCCCAAGTCTCTGGTGTTCCAGTCACAAGTGTTCCAGTCTCCCAAGTCACAAGTGTTCCAGTCTCACAAGTCTCAAGTGTTCCAGTCTCCCAAGTCTCAAGTCTCCCCACAAGGGTTCCAGTCTCCCAAGTCTCAAGTATTCCAGTCTCCCAAGTCTCAAGTCTCCTAGTCATGAGTGTTCTGGTCTCCCAGTCGCAAGTGTTCCAGTCTCCCAAGTCTCAAGTGTTCCAGTCACAGTTCCCGTCTCCGGAGGCCCTTCCTCGTCCTCCTCCTCCAAGACCCCCTGGACTTCTCTGGTCCCGCCTCCTGGTCCCCCGTCGCCAGCCCCCTGGTCTTCTCTGGTCCCGCCTCCTGGTTACCCGTCGCGGGCCCCCAAGAGCCCGTCGTCGCCTCCTCCTCTGCCGCAGACGCAGGCCCCCAAGAGCCTGTCGTCACCACCTCCTCCTCTGCCACAGATGCAGGCCCCCAAGAGCCCGTTGTCATCTCCTCCTCTGCCTCAGACGCAGGCCCCCAGACTCTACTGGTCCCTGCCTCCTCTCCATCGGCCCCTCGGTCCCTCTTGGCCCTCCCTCCGGATCCTCCTCCTTCCGCCCTGCTCTGTGTTCCTGTGGGCATCTGGAGTCCGCCCTTTGGGGGGGGGGGGGGGGGGGGGGGGGGGGGGGGGTTACTGTCTCACCCTGTCCTGTCTCCCCATTTGGTTCAGCCTATGTCTCTGTTGATTGCTCCCACCTGCCTCTCGTTTCCCAATCACCCAAGCTCCCGGCCCTCTTGTATTTAAACCCCTCTCCAGTCCTGTGTCTCTTGTTGCCTCATTGTTTCCATGTCCTGTGTCCAGAGATCATTAAAACCTTTTATGTTTTCTAGTTTGTCTGCCTGCCTGATTCCTCCCCAGCGTTTGGATCCTCACCTCCGCTCCACTCACCAGCGTGTCATGACAAAAAGAGCCACTACTTCAAATCAGCCTGGACCTCCCATCGTCTAGGAGGCTCTGCCGTTATTCCACCAATCATAGACGACTCTGGAACATCAAAACTGGAACTAAATCATTTTTACAAAAACATTTCCAGGAAATTCCTATGATAGGAATTACAAATATTTATCGTAGTTTTGTTGTTTTTCCTGCTTATTTTGGCGTTAGCTGAAACAAACATGTTGGCCTGTTACCATGGTGACAGACTCAGAGATTTCCTTATGCTCCTGCTGGAAAACAGGGTGGATTTATTTAGTTTCCCTGGAATAACTCTCTGGCTCCTTTGCATGTTTCCTGTTGTCTCTAATGTGTTGATTTATTTTTTCTTGCCTTTACTGAAGCAGCTCGAGTGAAACCAAATGTCTCTCGTGTATCTTTATCGTTGCTGTCCCTCGTCTTCCTCTGTCTTGCTGGTAGTTTGTAATATTTCATACAGTTTCTGATACGCATGCATGTGGATGCAGGACCGCAGCATTATTCATCTGCTGCCGGAACGTCACACAGCATTTTTAGGTCAGCGAACAGGTTCCTTCATGTAGAGCCTGCAGAGCTCCGCTGGCCAGAGGAACCAGAACCAGAACTTTCTGCTACAACAAAACAGACCGATTTAATGGTTTGAACTTTCAGCTGTTTATCCACCTGTTGGAGCTGAAGTCCACCTGAGCTGCTGGTACCAGAGTTCCTATTTACAGCTGCTCCGTGTTTGGCTCATCCCTTGAGTTAGGAGGTTTTTCCATCCTGACTGATTCAGAGGTCAGATGTTTAAACATTCCGGTAACAGCACGGAAACTAGGATGTCCAGATCTGATCACATGATCGGAAATCGCCCCGATCACGTGGTTTCAGACTGATCGGGACTCTGGCTTTATTTCCCGATCCAAGCCCCGATCCGGACTTGGATACTGGGTTCAAATTACAGGAGAGCAACTTGGTTCTCCTAAAGGTTGTCAGGCTCCCCTGATGCCCTTAACTCATTCACTGCCAGCCGTTTCCTGATCACTAACGGCCTTCGCTGCCAGCGTTTCTCACCGTTTTTACTGTTTTTTTAAGAGTCACAGAACGTTGCGCGCTAGCATGATGTCGACGCCAAAGCAACCAAAACAAAGAGGAGACTCACCTCTTACATCAGGAAGAAGCCGTGTGTTTCGAGCGTTATCCGTTCTTTCATAATCCGTTGTCGAATTGTGATCGGCAGATGCTTTTCCGGTTCACGCCTCACTTTTTTTACAGGAACGGCCCAAAACGATCTCCAAACACATGGATGGTCTGCTTCCTGATCATGTGATCTGTGACGTATGCGGATGAAGATCGGCTTCAGGGCTGAGAGGTTTGTTCTCTCAGCGCGGGGGCTCGTTCCAATGCTCAATCAGTAAAAAAAATGCAAATGACGACTTTAGTCGTCATTGGCAGTGAACGGTTGGATCTAAAATGACGACTTTAGTCGTCAATGGCAGTGAATGAGTTAACTTACACACCCAGAAGGGGCACAAAAAAGATCCAGTTTCTACCTATATTATATTATTTATATGGACTCAGAGTAGCGGAGATTATTTTGAGCAGAGTGGCAGGCAGACCGCTGATTATTCATGAACTCCAGCTGCGTTCTGCACACTGCCACAGTGCCATTTTCTAAGTTTCTAAGTGGCGTCACCAAAACATATATAATTAATACACAGTCATTCGTGTCCGTTCATTTTGTCTCTGGAAAGTTCTGTCTGTATTTGAGCATGACGTGTGGACGCACTCGCGCTGCAGCGCTCGTCACTGGCGCAGCCGGGCAGCGAGGCGCACACTTTGCTTTTTTTGCGGTCAGTAGATCAGTTTGATCTGCTAGTTAAAAAGTTACTTGTGAGGTGAAAAAGAAGGGAGCAGACAGGAGTTTTTCTGGAGGACTGGGAGATGCAGGAAGATCAGAGACAGACAGGACAGGAAGACAGGAAAATAAAAACCAAGAAAACAAAACAAAGTTCTTAAAAAATAAAATGTAGGTAGATTGATCCCACTACACGTTTGTACCTGTATAAAGCAATAATTTATCAGCATGTAGTATTTATACAGTTGATACAATTCAGATCATCTTCAAACCCCCCCCCCCCCCCCCCCCCCCCCCCCCCCCCCAATACCCAGGGACGTATCTAAGCATTTTGGGGACCGAGGCAAAGTAGACCCCTGCCAGGTATTTTAAGTTGAAGTGTTATCTGTTTTTATATTAGACTTTTTATATTTGCAATAAAGTCCAAAAGGGAACAATTTGTTATTTATTACTTGATTGTTCAAGCTACCTCACAGAAGTGATCTGTTGTTAAAATTAAAAATGAAAAGGTAATTAAATAAAAAATAAGGAACATTCTGGAACTGTTTCTTCCTTTTCTTTCTTTTTTTATGTATCGAAAGTATCGGATCAGGACTCGGTATCGGCAGATTCTCTAAATCAAATTACTCGGACTCCAGGGCAAAAAAACCTGATCGGGACATCCGTAACGGAAACTAAGGACTTGACCTGGAGTTCTGGACTGGATCACTTCAGATGAGGGGAGGTGCTCTGTCAAACTGGGGGGAGATCCAAGAAGGAGGTTTCAGAACCAGGATCTCTGTATACGATTGGATCAGAACCAACAGAATTTTTTTTCTGAAAGAGCAAGTCAGCCCCTACCAGATGCTCCCACTTCCTGTTTGAAAAATGCAACAAATGTTGTTGCCTAGCAGACCGAGAAGGCGGAGCCGCAAACAAATACATACACACACACACACACACACACATTGTGACATCATAATGTACCAGCTAACGTTCTAGGGTACCTCTTAGCCAATAGCGATGGCAGATTTAAATTCAAATGCAGTGCAGAGTTTTTACCTGACAACGGCACAACACTGACAGTTTTAGGCAGAAAATGAAAATTTGAACTAAAATGCATTAAAGTGCTAAACTATTGACTACATGTCAGCAGCACGATTGGACACGCTTGTATACAGTTTATCAGAAAGATAAGTTGATTTGAGGGGTGACTTGCTCTTTAAAACTGAATAAACTAAAATATTTTAAGTCTGAGTTTCTTACAGAATCCTCTTTTCTCTTAAGTCCTCCCTCCTTTCCTCCCTATACTCCTGCGTCCCCCATGCTCTTCATCCTCCCCTATCATACTCCTTCCTCCTCTGTCCTCCTCTCTGGAATGTCTGACAGATGAACTAGAGCTCTTAAAGACGTTTCTGGGAGGGCTGTTGCAACACAGCCGGGCCTCTTCATGTATTCAGCACAGTCTGGTCTCATTGCTCCTCTGGGTTCAGAGGTCCACGGTTCTTGATGTGAGGCCAGAACTCACAGCTTAGGAAACACTGATGGAGCGTGTCGGCCAGCTGCCGCCTCTGCTGAAGCTGAACGGTCAGAACGAGGCCAGACACTTGGTTCTGTTGGGTTTATCACAGCTCACCAGCTTTCTGAGCCTCCTTCATGGTTCTGACAAAGATCAGAAACACAGACGGAGGCAGTCAAAGAGACTGACCCAGGAACTCTGGCTCAGTTCTGAATGTTGGACCTCTAATGAGAACAACGTTAAGCAGAACCTTTTACAACATCAGCTGTCAGATCTGCCTCTAACCTGTTGTCTCCCTCAGCTGTACATCCAGACGACCACACTGACCATCTCCATGAACTTGAGTGCGTCTGTCGCCCTCGGTATGCTCTACGTGCCCAAAGTCTACGTCATCATCTTCCACCCTGAACTCAACGTGCAGAAGAGAAAACGATCCTTCAAAGCCGTCGTCACCGCTGCCACCATGTCGTCCCGGCTGTCCCACAAGGCCAGCGACCGACCCAACGGCGAGGCCAAGACGGAGCTGTGTGAGAACGTCGACCCCAACAGTAAGTACTGATGAAACTCCTGCAGGAACCAGTGGAACAAATTAAATGTTCCAGGGTTGTTCAAAACATTCTGCTGCCATATTTGTTCATCACAAATGCATGTAGATTTAAAAACTCCAATATTCCTTAAAAACATCCACCAGAGGCAAAATTCCTCTGAACAGCGTGTGTAAAGAAGTATTAAAACCTCAGATGAAAACAGGTTTTGGATTTTCACGGTTGGAATTTAAAGAAAATCTGATGTTTGTGACCGGCGCAGGAAAAGCAGAAGCTAGCCTCCGGTCTAAGCCCTGGACAGCTGATGACGTTCCACAAGGATCTCTGCTGAATCAGATGTAGTAAAACAACTCCAACTCCGTAGTTTCTGCGTTAGCGTTATAGCAGAACAACGTGTCATCAGTCAGATGTAGCTTCTGAAGCCTCTGCTAGTCGGTCAGATACGTTTTTTCTCTGGGTTACGGCGACCAGAACGGATATTGGATTACTGGAGAAGTTCAACCGAACTCCGACCCCGCTAGCTGGATATCAAAAACAAAGTAAAGTGTAATTAGACCGCATTTCTACCATTTTAATGCCGAGTCTGGCCAATACCTTTAAAAACAATAAATGATGTGTATTATACATGAAGCTTTGTTTGACTCTGGCCTATTCCAGCTCACAGGTCACTATTGTATCAACCTGCCTAGCCCTTTGTATGGCTCAGTACTCATGAGGTAGCTCTCTGCTTCACAAAAGTTGGAGAGCCCTGCTCTGGAGCACCGGTAGGCTCCGTGTATCACTGTTGGCTCTATGAGATGTCACGTTTTATAAATGATGTTATTTTTCTGAGCCATCCTTTCAACTTGGAAGTAAAACACTTAGATTTGATCAATCCCTGCCTCCCCCCATGTGATGCGCAGCTGCAGACCCAGAACAGCAGATTCACGCACTGTGCCGTTATCTCCGTCGTTGTAAATCAGAGAATAAAAAATATTGACCGGATCCTTACTTCACTTTTCAACATTGTTTAATGTAAACTTTTGTTCTGAACAAAGTTTAATTACTACAGTCCAACGAGAGAGAGCCTGGATTAGTTTTGTGAACAGTTTAAACATGTTTTAAAAGGAGGCGTGTTTTGATGCATGCATAAATCAGCACCTGCTCGGACCTAGTAGCCCCACCCACAACGCCGCGGCTGCTGTGGCTCCCAGTGTTTTCTTTACTGTGGTAAACGGGTAATAATGGTAGCCGACCCCTGGTTTAATCTAAAGTCTGCATGAATCACAGATATCACCAGATCTCCTGATGCTCAACTCGTGTGGATGTTGAGCATTTTCAACCATCTTTTTATAAAATTCATTGAAACCACCAGCCGGCAACGCAGGAACAAAATGAGACTCATGTTTGCAGAGATCAGTGTTCACATGATCACATGATCAGCTGGAAGTGAGATTCCAACTCAGAACAACTCACCAAATCATGTTTTTCTTCTCTTGACAGGCTAGTTTCACAATTTATCAGAGGTAAGAGCAAATGAATCTTCTTCTGCTCTGCTGTCCCGACCTTGTTCCATTTTCTTCTGGAGCTGTTGAGTAGGGGAGGGGCTGAGGGCGAGGAGGCCTGTGTGGAGAGAATGTTAAATATACGTCTTCTGCTCTTTATCACCATCTTTCTAACTACTCATAACCTTTACATGAGGAGAAGCTCGTATGGCTGTTGGAGTGGCAGATTTACAGATATTCTCTGATGCTTTAACTGCATGTCTGACCCGCTCGACCTCCGCGTTTAGCGCAGCGCTCCTGCAGCATTCATAAAGCGTGCAGCTGGAAGGTTCCTCCTTCAACAAACTCCAGAGAGGTGTCAAACCCCAGATGGGTCAGAGGATCACCCACAGCAGCGGGCGGGCGGCAAAGTCACGCTAAAAAGGAGAAAAACATGTTTTTTTATCCAGCTGAATGAAGAAGAACTCAGATAATCAGATATCAAAAATTCAACTAATCCAGTTATTGTTAAATACTTAATGTCTGGATTTCTTGGGTCCACAGTCCTAATCCATGTCAGCTGATCAATAAACTGGTGATTTAGAGTCGACCAGATTAAAACAGTGCCGGATGACAATTTTATATATTTTTAGATTTGACAGCAAAAGCCAAAAAACCTGCAGGACGATGAGTTAAGCTGTTCCTGATTATTAAGGATTTCTTTCTGAAATAATCTGAGGAAAAGTGAAACCAACTCAGAGAGTTGGAACACTTTGCCAAAGTGACCCAGTAAAAGTTGGTGCTCGTCTGACGTACGATATAGAAAGTAAGTCAACTATAGAGATCACGTGTTGCCATCTGCTCTGATAAAGGGATTGGAACCTTGGTTCAGTCTTTAAATCTGAATTTATCCGTTTGTTTTCAGATTAAAACCCTATAGTGTAGAATTAAAACTCGTGTTTCATTAAAATGATGATGATGGTTTTGTGTTTCTGTTAATCTCTTGAGTTGTTCATCTAGGCAGCAAGAGAATCAACAGCTGATGACGGATGACAATTAATGATCCAACATTTCATCTGAACTTTTATTCCTTTATTATAGGGAAGATGAATTGGACGACAGAGAAAAACTTTTGTAATGAAGTTTCCTTCAGACAGTTTAAATCCAACATTCTGAAAGTTGATTTTTGAACTTTTAAACTGAACTCCTGATTGAAACACCTCCAGCTAACATCTGTCTTTAAGGGCAGGACTGGGAGTCATAAACTTTAGGAAATATTCTACAACTTTAATGATAAATTTCTTTTCATTTCATCAAAGGTGTTTAATAAGACGACGAGCTGCTTTACAGGCAGAGAGGCTGCTATGGAAAGCCAGATGTTCAATCAGAGAAGACGCAGAAGTAAAACTAATCAGAAGATAAAATTCTGAGGTGTGGCCGGACATCATGTTGTTCTGGTGGTTTTAGCTTTCATTGTTTTCAGAAAAAGTTTGGAAAAAACTCTTTTTGATTTGATACCTGCAGGGTTGGTATTTCATCATTTAACCCTCAGCACGTTTTGTTTTAAATGTCAGTGATTAGACATGGTTGTTCATGTCTAACTTTAGTATAAAGATGCACATTTACCCAGCCTGGCAACCACCCTATAGATGTAAGCCTACAGTCTAACCACCAGGGGCGGTTCTAGACCAAATTTTCCAGGGGGGCCACAGTGGGGCCAGTATTTTTTCACGGGGGCGCAAGAAAAAAAGGCTAAAATCAGGGCAATATCAAAATTGATTTTGGCTCCGCCATTTGACTAATTTTGTGCTTGTGCACAATTTTGCCAAAGGAAATTCCTAGTACTGTGAAACTACTCACTTTTTTGTTCTCTTCTTTTTCATTTCTATCTTTACTATATTTTGGGGATCAAATTTATCAAAAATTTTCCTTAACTTTCTTCATCTATGATCTTTTACAGCTGTATTTTACTAAAATAAGATTCAAATAAATTCATAATAAAAGACAATGAACAAGTAAACTATTACAGCGAATGTGGTAACGGTTTACTTGTGAAAGTAAAACTGGCATGTTTTTATGGCACTCAGATAACAATTCTGAATGCTTCACCACATCATGAGACTTGAGTTAAACAATAATTCTCGTTTATTATAGTTTGACTTTATTTGAAGATTACATGTACTATACACATGAAAAATAAACAAACAAATAAAATATGTGCACAATGCAATTTCTTAGTGCAGTGCTTTTTGTAGTCAACACACACACACAGAGAGAGAGAGAGAGAGAGAGAGAGAGAGAGAGAGAGAGAGAGAGAGAGAGAGAGAGAGAGAGAGAGAGAGAGAGAGAGAGAGAGAGAACAGCATTATATAAAGCTGTAACAAAAGCCTACCAAATCTGGAATGAATGCTGATTCCTGTCCTATTTATACTTTCACATAAGATATTTTAGGTAAGTAAAATCAGAAAAATGTCAGATCAGATTCGCACAAAAATTTAGTCACAGCCATACAACATCACAGCCCCTTTTGAGCAGCTAACCAAACAGCAATTTGCAGTTTCTGATCCAAACTTAGAGACAATGCATTAACATTTCTTTCTTTGAATGCACAAGTTATTATTCTTTTGTGTAAGTTTGTGCTGATTTTGTTTTACAGCATGAATCATCATCAAGATGTGACAGAGTAATTGGTCACACAGTAATCTGTCCCATTACAATAACAGTATTCTACTGTCATGACCTCTGCGTTCCTGAGCTCCTTTATAATCCACCGCACCATGGACAGCTCCTCGCTCTGGCCCCGCTGAGACAGAGGATCAGCACCATGGAGAGAGGCACGCTGAGACGCACCCTTCCGCTGGCCCGCTGACACCAGCTGCGGATAACCAGGACTCATCAGGACTCCTTACAAAGGAAGAAGAGACGCGATCCCGAGAAAGGAGCAGAGTTGGAGAGGATCGTGAAGAGAGTCGTGGAGAAGAGCAGCCGGAGATTGAACAGAGAACGAGCACACGAGAAGAGCAGCAGAGGAGATCGGAGAGATAAGAGACGAGAGACGAAATGGGGAAATCCTGTGATCGCCTTTTAACCACAACCAGAAGGAAAGCCTGAGATAACCAGAATATTGGATTATGCACCGACACGGAGATCTTTTCTGGAGGAGAACCACCGGCTTCCAGAAAGAGAGAGAGAAAAGGGAGAGCGTGAGACGCCTGTCACAGCTGGAGTAACACAGGACCAGAAGGAGGAAACTTACCCCGGGCTGGGTATTGCACGAGTGTGGGGCCTTGCCCAGAACTTTATTCATTTAAGAGACTAGATTAAACAGACCTCTGGCTTAATTATTTTCAAGGACCTTATTTACACCCGCCAGGGACAATTTTAGTTAATAAACTCCTTTGGAACTTTTATTTGTCCTCGTGTTTGCTCCCACCACACTTGTGTTGCCCCTCCTGGTAATTCCTAGGCCTGGAGGGGTGTAACATCTACGTTTGTGCTGTCTTGCAAAAATGGTCTACGAATACTTTAAGGTTCAGAGCCTTAAATCCCTTCTGGATTCAATGCTTAGCACCCCTAGATTGCTAAGGCGCTCATCTGTAGTAGTAGACCGGAGGTAGGTTTTTACTAATTTCAATGTTGAAAAACTCCACTCACAAGAGGCAGAACTTACTGGGAGTGCAACAGCGATTTTGCACAGTCTAAAGAACTCGTAAAATACCTCCTTGTATGGCACTGTGAAACGGATCAACTCCACTGTATCAGAAAGCTTTTCAGCCACACCCATCTTCATTTTTCTATCCAAAAATCTCTTGAACTGATGCAGTTCATGCCCCAGATCCTCAATATTAGCATCAAAAAGATGACCAAACTCAAACAAAGTGGTGTCTTTCAAAAAAAGCGTCACTTTTAGGGTTAAGAGATCGAATACTGCTCATCAGCTCACAACTGGTCTTTGAAAAACGTCTGCTCAGTTCACTTAGCATGCAGTCAATGACAGGATAAAAAAAAGAAGACCGATAAGTTTCTTTGTCAGAGGCCAGCTCCCTCTGACCAAGTGAGCTTAGTATGTGGTACTCACGAAGTCCGGAGCATGTCTTTGTCGTTTTGCTTCTGACTGTGTGGCAGCATCACACTGTTAACAAATGTTCAGTACTTCCCCCCACAACTTGTCAAAAAGCACTCCTGCCTGAAATCTGTTAATGTCTGCACCAATCCTTCAACTAAATCTGCTGCTTTTGAGAGGTCAACTGTTGAGGACTGCAGCATATCTGAAAGAAGCTTTGTTTCTCCGAACAATGTAGGTGGTTAGTAACCACGACCCGTAGGCAGCTTGGTTGTGGAGCAAAATCTACGGTTGTCTTTCAAACTGTCTCTTCATGCAATTGGACAGCACTAGGACCAATCAGCACGATGACACAATATACAGACAACTGGAAGGCTCTGCCATGGGTTACCCGTTATCAGCCACCCTGTGCGAGTTTTTCATGGAAGACCTAGAACACAAACCATAGCCACTGCCCCCACAAACTGCTAAATAAAATTATGGAAACGCCACGTAGACGACATACTGGAAATCATACCAAAAGGACAAACAAAAACACTAACACAACACTTGAATAACATTGACGACACAGGCAACATAAAGCTCACATATGAGTCAGAAACAGAAGGCAGTATAACATTTATGGACATGAAAATAACCAGGCACACCGATGGGACCCTAAACATAAACACATATAGGAAACCATCACACACAGACCAATATCTATTATGGATATCAGAACACCCCACCATACACAAAACGTCAGTAATCAGAACACTATATCACCGAGCAAACATGATAACAGAAGAAAGAGATCGTAAACAAGAGGACAAACACATACAATACGCTTTAAAGACCTGCGGATACCCAACATGGGCAATAAACAAAGACAAACAACAAACAACAACAGAAAGAAAGAAAAACAACCAAAGTAAAGAACCAGAAACCCAGAAAGACAAGAACCAAAACCAGTGATAACATTAACATACATCAAAGGCAT